TGGTGAGGCCATGGGAAGGGAGACCCACGTCTCCTTTTCGGGCTGTGTCCGATTGAGCTCCGAGGGTCCATGTGTGGGGACCCTGGTGGCCCACGTACGGATGAGGGAACTCTGTTTTCAGTATCATAAGGGGTCTTTGGGCTGTGCTTTGTCTGGTTCCTCACCTAGGACCTGTCTGCCTTGGGTGACCCTACCAGGGGCATGAAGGCCCTGATTGCATAGCTCCTAGGATCACTGGGACACTCAAACCCCTCCACCATGATAATGTCACAGCCCACGAGCTTTGTGGAGGTCATGACAGAAAGAACGAAGTCACGGACACAAGTGGCCAAGACTGTTTTTTTTTTCTTTCTGTACAGTGGCTGGGCTCTCCCTTAGAGATAAGGTGAGAAGCTCAGTCATCCAAGAGGGACTCAGAGTAGAGCCGCTGCTCCTTCACATCGAGAGGAGCCAGTTGAGGTGGATCAGGCATCTGGTCAAGATGCCTCCTGGACGCCTCCCTGGTGAGGTGTTCCAGTCATGTACCACCAGGAGGAGACCCAGAGAAGGACACACTGGAGGGACGATGCCTTGAGATTCTCCCAGAGGAGCTGGTCCCAGCGGCTGGGGAGAGGGAAGTCTGGACCTCCCTACTTAGGCTGCTATCCCCAAGACCCGACTCTGGATAAGCAGAAGAAACTAGACTTGTATGTGGACAAAACTCTGAAACGAAGAGTTTATTAAAAAATGTTATGACTAGTCTTTCAGCTGTATCTTACCAGATATTTTAAGAAATGTCAGTTTTTTATTTATGTCTGGGAAAGAGAGACATTTAGCTGCAGGTAAACAACAAAGCAAATCATGTTTCACTCATCAAACAAGAGCTCCAAACCTGCAGATTGTGTTGGGACACCATTTATATATTTTGGAAAAATATGGCTTTCAGAGCTACAAGACTTACTTTTATTAGCAGTCGACGTGTGGCTGCAAATTTCCTTTTTGGCTTTTTCTATGATAATAATAATAAAAAAGAAACATGTCAGGTTTCTGCATCGTTTACTATGAATTATTTTCCATTGTAATTTATGTACATTTCATTTCATAACATTCTGACTCACCGGTCTTCATCATCACATGAGATCAAAAACCACCACAAAATAAAGAAAAACAATTAATACCACAGAAATAGTCATTTTAAACATGTAATAAAACAATAAAGAAAGAGAGAAGCCAACAGTTACTCTTCATTGAGTAACATGAGACAATGATTCATCACTTCAAAACTTTTTCCATACATTTACGACATTCAATTAAACTACAAAACAATCAAATCTGAGGACAAAATACAAAAAAGTGCCATAAACTATTTGCATTAGTCTGTACAACTTTAAACTAAGACTTTGTTAAAGGCCCTTGTGGTAGTAGCCTTTCACTTTGCCTCATCTTAATTTGAAAATATTTGCATACATATTTCCCCCACAAGGTTCGGGGAAATTTTAGCCAGACTTCAGTGTCCTCATGGAGGGACATGAATCCTGTCCTGTGCTGCAGTCGAAGCATGTGAAAAATACAGGAAATGGCTGCAAGATGCACAACACAACCAGGCTTTATTGAAATTTTATTCAGTCTTGCCATCAATCTTACCTATTCTTTAGTTAAGGAGAAAAGTGTGTGTTTTGTGGCATCCCTGTTGTTCCATATTTATCCCAGGTTTTGGTAGCTGTTTCTACTTGATGCTTGGGGATTTTTTTTGTACCCTTCCCCTGAGCTGTACCTTTGATCCTTTTTAACTTGACATCAACCTAAGCCTGTCAACTTAGGACATCCAAACTTTATTTGTAGCACAATTCTTACTGCTGTGTGCATAAGAAGATTCAACAAATGATTCATTTTAAGGGTTTGCAAATTTGGGGTATTTTCATGTTTTGCTTCTTTATTTTTATTTTAACTTTGAATTCACTTCAACTGTACGGGATACACTTTACGCTATGTGTAGAAAAAAGTTTGAAGTGATCTTTCAGAGCCTCATTTTGGGCATAAAAATAGGACACTTTTAATACCTACTTTAGGTTGAATTTCTTTCTCTTTTTTGTATTATTTGGAGTACTGTAATCAATTGTGAAGAAATCATGAGGTTATTACTCACCCCTCAGACATCACAGCAGTGTATCGTTCCTGAGAAGAAACAAAGTGTTTCACCGACCATTTCAAACTCACTACATTTATGTCTCAATTAGAACCGTTTTGTGGCCCAGACGTTTTTAGTATTTCATGTGAGTTAATTCTATATGCAAGTATTTAATCTTGTTGATTTTGAAATAAGTTTCTGTTCTCTTCCAGGCACGTGTTTTTAAAAAGAGCTGAGGTGGAGCCTGGAGCCTGTTGTACAGCTATATTTGACCACATTGTCACCATTCCTTCCTGAGTGCTGCATGCTTTCACTGGTTTGACGAATCCAGGCAAGATACAGATGATCTGCAGTATGCAAACACAACGTATGCCTGAATATCGGCTTTTTTGTCTATTTTATTCTTGTTTTTCTAGCAGCGAAGGGCACATTTTAAAAAAAAAAAAAAAAAAAATCACACTCACACTATTTAAAGAGAGCTTGCACCATAAATAGTCTGCGGCTTTGCCAACCGTTTTATAAAGGTTAATCATTATCAGCTGTCATATCAATAACCATAATTTTGTAAGTCTCATATTGCGCTGGCTGACCTAGGCAATCGAGAATCCAGAAAGTAGCGGGAGGTGAAAGTCAAAACTAGGCTGCCATGTTCAAAAAGTCACGTAAAGACCTTGACAAAAGTGGCGACCTGGGCGTGCATCTCATACGCAAATACCAGGGCAGTGTAAGTTTCAGGGAATGCCGCCTTCATTATTTTAGCAAAGTTAGACTTGACACAGCCCAGGCAAATATTGTAGATAATGTTACGTAGATTCCTGGGCTGCAGTCACTGCCGTCTCTCCATCTCACAGTGCTAGTTGGAGGTTTCTACGCGGTGCTCACAATAAGCCTAATTGACTGCTATTTTCTACTGACAAAAGGTCATTGGCTGCTGCGCTTACCTTTGACGATGAGCGAAAAACAGACGGGCCAGCAGTTTAGCTGTAAAGGAAAAGCACTTTATGATAAATAGTGAAAGTTCTGCGTATTCAAAGCAATGATGCCATTGGCTCATTAAAATAGACACCCCCGTCCACCTGACAGTTCCCACATCACAATCCACAATGCCTTTTTGATTTGCCCTCAACCCGTGACCCATTTATTTCATGTGATTGTCTCGCACAAGGACACACCTCACACGTCTCTGCAATGACAGCTGAGCTCCTCTCTTTCCAGAGGCCATGAGCTCGGAGCATGTGTTCCTTTTAAACTGGTCGCATGGTGTTGCCAAGCAGAGGCCAGAGGATTGTTTCAAAGACTTGTTGTTCTGAGGAAGCTTTTAATGCTAATGGTACGGTACAAGGTGCAAAAAAATACAGGCAAATACTCTATGAATGCTACAGTTTTCTATTAGTAAACAACTTGGATTATATAAAGTAAGTAAAGTAGCAAAAAAAGCCCTTAACATGGAAGGTCACAAACATCCAGAAACACTGTTTTGGTTAAATGCTACCTTAGGATCTAACTTATAATCGCCTTGGTTAACCTCTTATGTAGAGGGAGGTAGCCCATACCCTTTTGTCTGGAAGGGTTTCAAAAGACCTTCCTATCTGTCGGTCTGGTGACATGTGATACATCTGACCACAGAGTCCAGTAGGAGACAGAATAACTCAGAGACAAGGCGATAAGAATTAACACTTTCCCACAGCCACATTGCTGTCCTAAACATGGTCCCTTGCAAAGTTATTCACACCCGTTGTATTTTATCTCCTTACTACCAAAAAGAATAAATAAAAATTAAAAGAAATCCTGTGCTTCTTTTTAGGACTGGTGATTACTCTCAGAAGTAAAATGATGTCCTATTCTAAAATTGAAATGACACAAGTTTTAAAAAATTTTGTTATCAGTTTAGGGGTGCACCGATTTATCGGCCAGCCAATTTATTGGTGCCGATTTCCTTAATTTTGGGAGGTCTTATCCACTGGTCTTATCTAGGGTGGCAAAGGTCTAAGCATCAAGCCCTGTCCTCTTTTGCTCTCCGATGAGAAAGGTTTGATTGACAGACCCGGCCCACCAAGTTATGTCTGCACATAGTGACCTCACTGTTGCCAACTCAACAACTTTCTTGCTATATTGAGCAACATTTCAGACAAAAAATATTGGTATCGACCAAAATCGGAATCAGCAGGTTAAACTTTTTAAATGATCTGTAATTGGTGATCGGCCAGAAAATTGCAATTGGTGCATCACCATGTTTCAGGGCTCCAACTCTTGTACCAGACTTCAAACAAAAACTTCTTACGGTTTTCTTTCACCAACTCACTCCTACCCAATCTTCATTAAAGATAAGATAGTGTGTGTAGTGTAGGTTTGTCATGTTCCAATTTCTTACCACATTGCTGATACAATGCAATATGTAGAACTTCCTGGACTACAGTAAGCTTGATCTAACTAAACACTATGCATTCGAGCTGGCTGTTAATGCAACATGTGACTCCTGCTGTTTGATGCAACATAAAACTTCTTAATATAAAACATGGTAATATAAAATGTCTTTATTGATCTTCCTAACTCAGTTATGCTGTTATTTTTCTGATTTTGCTCACTCAGCGTGTGAATATGAAAGGTCCTTTTGACCTGTAAAATCAGGTCACCTTCTCAGTATAAATATGTTAGTTACTGCCCTCTAGTGGGGCTGCCTCTTCGTTTCAGAGGTAAATGTGCCCTAAGGCAGTAATTTACATGGCACTCTCTACAGTGATGAAAAATATTCAAATATGTGCAGAAATGATGGAACCAAGACAGTCACACGGTGCTATCTTTTCTATGAAAATGGAAGCCATTAACCACAGTTGAGAACGCCTCCTTCCTGTGTTATTCAGAAGTCACAAGGTGATAAAAATCAGACAAATAACACAGGATGACAGCAGACAAGTCTGAGCTCTTGTCTTACTTGAAGCTTCTCAGACTGCCTTGAAAATATAAATGCAAAGTTTTCAGGATCTGCATAACAATGATCAGTTTGCCTTTTTTAATTTTCAGTGTGATGGCTGCACTCAAAGCATCATCATCATCAACATCATCGTCATCTCTTAGGATTTTGACAAAGGACTGCAATCAGATGGTGAGATTTAAATACTGCCTTCAAATCTAATGGTGCTTCTACTAAAATAAGCAAGAATTACATGAAAGCATGTATATTTTCCTGTTTTTTCTTTTATTTTCAGGGCCTTGACAATTACAGAGAGTGTAAGTATATATATATATATATTTTTTTTTGCTTTAAATTGTTTTGCCATTGACAAACTGGTCACTTAAACATGCAGTGGCTCTCAGAGGTCTGCACATCTTTGTTAATAAAGGTTCTTGTGATTAAAAAGATGAAACCATGATACATTATTTTCCCTTTCCACCCATAATGTGATATTTGTTCTGTACAATTCAGCTAAGAAAACAAACCCTTCAGAGAAAAAAAAATTGAATAATCTGAATAAATAAAAGTTTGCACCATGCCTGAGAGAGTACACACTTGAGTATAGCGAACCTGATTGATGTGAGATAAAGTTGAACCATCTTAGGGTTTTTCTGACTGCTGCAGATATGTTAAGTGGATGGATTTGATAGTACAAAGGTATCTGTCAGGAGAAAGATACCAAAAAACAACAAAGGATTTAATGAAACCAGATTAGGATTAGGGACAGAGGCATTTTTTTCCCCCAAAGAAATAATCCAGGCTTGGGTAAAATCTCCCATCCAATAATAACATGTTATGGTCTGACAAAGCACTTTACCTTTGTGACCATATTTCCAAATGTATGTTTGGCACAAAACCAACGCTGCACAACACTGACATGTTATAATATAAACACAGTGAAATGTGATGGGCATACCAGCATGAGGCTTTTCTTTTCTTCAGCTTTTTTAAGCCAGATATACATATATACATAAATGTCATTTTTTTAGGAATCACAAAACAATGTGACACAATGACAGGGCTGTGTGAATTTTTAAGAGCCACATATAGTAACATAAAACCCTCCAATGTCAGCCAACTGCTCAGACATGGAAAAGGTTCCTCGGGTGAAAGCTTCTGTAGGTCCAGAGTGGGATTCTGTACAAGTACAAACCAGCAAGGACGGATCAGTTCCTGTTGTGAATGTGTCTTGGAAACTACAAAGTGATGGTGAGTAAGTCTCGTTCCAACAACAAAAAAAAAAATCTGTATTTTTTTATATTTTTTGTTTTTGATTATGTAGCCTGGTTGGATGAGTCACAAAAGGTCATTAACTTCCTCATGAACTTGTGTGTGTTCACAGCGGGCTTAAGGGCAATCAATGGCTCAGAGATAAACATCAGAGATGAAACTACAAATCAAAGTGTGTGTGAGCAGATTCATTTCTCTGTTTATAACATGGAAAATTCAAAGCAGGAAAGGGTAAGAGCAAGCAAGCGTTTCTGTTGTCATCAGACTTACTGTTTTGTTTTATACCATTCTGTTCTCACGATCAGGTTTATGCTCTCCTGCGATTCCATCGGTCTCTTTGAGGACGATTTGAAAAACACAACTTTCATTTCAATAATCAAACCATTTGGTTGTTTTTGCCATCTATTGACTCCTATAGAACGCCTGGCTTCCTGATAAAACATTACATTTAAAGCTGTTCTGTTTGGTTCCTTAGCAAAACAGCGCTTAGACATATTTTAAAATATGAGAACAGATGTTTCACTTCTCTTTTTAAATTATGTAAAGACCTGGGAGTCTACTTTATCTTTATTGTTTTAGAGAAATACAGATCTTTATTTATAATATATTTATTAAAATAAAAACACAACTAGAATGACAAATAACCCAGTTTCTATATTGTATTGACGCAACAAAAATAAAATAAAATTAAAGAATCTCTGAGTGTAATTTGACTGTTTTCTGTCTCTAGTCTTGCTGAAATATTTCTCTCTAATGAACGGGGGCCTCAGAAAAAAAATATTGGCATCATTTTTTAAAACTTGTTATTTTTTTATCATTGCAACAGGGATTTTTCAATTTATTTACTAAATAAATTCAAACTGTTTGTCTTGTAAAGTACCTTAGAATGACATTTGTTCTGTGTTACACATCGAATTAAACTGATTGAAATTTTAAGAATCAATTTTGATCGTATCACTATTTTTTTTCTTCTTTTGTTTTGTTTATTGCTGCTAGTGGACTTTTTCCTTGGCTGTTGTGGTAGAACCGGAGCATACGTACAACATCACAGTGTTTCACTTCCCTGAACCTGACTTCAGAGATTACAGGATTAAGACCCAAACTACTGTACCAGGTAGATTCGTCTTTAGATAGAGACAGTGACAGTTATTTAGAATGAGCTTTAGTTTAATAGAAACCAACTTAGAACAGAGAAAAATGCTTATTTTTATTAACATAAGGTCCTGCAGTCCAGTGATATTACAACATTTTGTCTCCCACTACTGCAAATAACAATACTTAAATAATGTCATCAATAACAGCAATAAATATAAAATGTTCTAATCAGTTGTTTGTTGTGTCCTCTGCTCGGGCCAGGATGTAAAGACCCCAGAATCAAAAACTCCCAACTGTGCCAGGAGAACGGTAAATGTTTCATCTTCTCTCGAGTTCAAATGTGGCACAGGGGAAGCTCAAGGACTAAAATACAGCTGATTTGGTTTGTCTTTGGATAATTTAGGTAGTCTATGGAATCCCAGGATAGCTGCTGCGCTCAGTGACAAGAAAGATTTGATTAATGTGGAGTTTGACTCGGCGGAGCATTCAGAGAGCTACCTCGTCTCCATCCAGAGTGGAAGTGTAAATTGTTCCAAACTGGTCAATAAGGTAGAGCACCTCCACAGACGCATCTTGATAAAATGCATCATATAAAAGATTTTGCATTCCCATAATTAAATCCAAAAATAGAGGCCTCTTAATGCTGCTCATAATGTGGAAAGTTAAGCGTGAGGAAAACATGTAAAAGGCACACAAGCAACACAGAGAAGACTGTGAAGTACAATCCATTTAGGCGTTTTGGGGAGAGTCAATTGACTGTGGATTAAATAGCTGGAATTAAACTCAGCGGCCCAAAATCCTCTTTTCAGATGAAAGTGAATTTTGCATTTTGATTGAAATCAACATCTTAGCATTTGAAGGTAAACTGAAAAGGCAGAGGATTCAGTTTTCAACCTGATGTTGGTCTACTGACAGATTTTATTAAACTTTTGTGTAGATGTGGGCTATTTCAGTTGTTAACAACTGAGGTACATTTAATCCCTGTGGCCGCCCTTTTACTACTCAGTGTAGGAGGTTTTACTTTTTGAATTACATTGCTGAAATAAATTAACTTTATGCTACTATTCTGTCTTATTTTAGATGCCCCTGGAAGAATATTGTCTATGAAAGTAAACTATTGGGGTAATAACTCTTACATTCCTTATCTAGGATTAATTATTTTCTGTTTGGTAAACCAACAGGAAAACAGGACGCGTCTGAATGTGACGCTGGGGTGTGTTTCGTTTCATTTGTCACAATACGAAGTAACGGTGAGACCGATTTGCAAAGCCGAACCTTAATGAAACAATACTTTCTGCCGCGAGAACATTTTAAGAGTTTATCTCACTTTATTTTACAGATCCAACCATATTTCATTGGCTGCAAAAATAACTGTGAGAGTGCTAAGAAAAGCATAACAAGAAGGCAAAGTAAGTTGCATGCTTGTCTGTAAGTTTTCAAATGTAATATTTTGCTCTTCTTTTTCTCTTAATATTTGTCTTCGTTTCTTGATATTTCTTTAATGACAGGCAGCAGATCGATAAAGATCTGTTTAGGAATGATGTTGATCTTCGTTGGTGTTCTTGTTTATTTGCTGCAGAAAGCGTCTCACAAAGGTTAGTTTCCTTTCAAATGCACTACAAAAAAAAATCGTATAACAGAAGACTCTAATAAATATATGGTGACTTTATTTTGTATCTCAGCGCCTCCAGTCACTCCTGCCTCGGCTGACAAGCAGCAACCGGACGTTTTTCACGTTCAAGAGAGAAAACGTGTCCTCGTCATTTACTCCCTCGACCATCGGTTATATAAGAACATCGTTCTGAAGTTTTCCGCCTTCTTAGCGGCGAAATGTGGCACAGACGTGGTCCTAGACCTGCTGGATTCAACCAGACTGGGAGTACTGGGCAGCATCCAGTGGCTTGAGTGGCACAAAGAGCAAATTGAGAGGTCTTCAGATAAAATATTAATTCTTTGCTCCCGAGGAGTCCAAGCTAAATGGAGAGCCATGTGCGGAGGCAAGCAGGTTTTTCTGAGAGAGGACGCTCTCTCTCCTATCGGTGACACGCTCACTCCTTCCCTGACTCTCCTGGCGCCATATTTTATCCGCTCGGCGTCGTTTGAAAAGTATATCGTGGCGTACTTTGATGACGTATGTTCCGAGGAAGACATCCCGTCGCCCTTCAAGATTACGGTGCGCTACAAGCTGATGAAGCAGTTTGAGGAGGTCTTCTTCCGAATCCTGAACACAGAAAAACACGAACCGGGCCGAGTGAAGCAAATCAGCGGGCTCTCGGAGGACAAATACCACGAGTGTCCTTCAGGGGGCGCCCTAAGAGACGCCATAGAGGCCTTCCGCAAGTATCAGCTGGAGCATCCGTACTGGTTCCAGGAGGAGTTACTGGAACGCTCCGAGCTGGAGGACCTGGAGGCCACAGAGGAAGGCGATGAAGAGAAAATAGGAATTACAGACCACTTAGCATGTGTGTTCAATTCGGTCCAACTCATCAGTGACATGGAGATCCAAAAACGTCTAACAATAAATGAAACAAAGTTTCGGCTGGCTGAAAAGCATCAAACGTGCTCAACGCTGGAGTTCAACTCTTACACTGTACAGGGCATTCAGCTGCTTTAACAAGATTACCTGGAGGTTTTCACCTCCCCATTTATTTCAAGGGAGAATCATATAAATCTCTTGTCACTGTTGTGCGATATTTACAGGGTTAAATGTTATTTATATCCTTGGCAGGTTTGGGGGTAAAGTCCAATTTTTATTTTCCTAAAACGCTTCTTGTGACAGGAAGAATTAAAAAGGTTTTGCTTTTATTTGGAGTAACAAAGCATAAATCCCAACTTGAACCTTACTGAGAATCTGTAGAGAGAGTTAAAGATTAGTGTGATGGCCAGGAGGCCTTCCAGTCTCGAAGACTGAGAGCAAACAAGTAAGCTGCTCAGGAATTATGAAGTTTTAATTGATGTAAAAGCCAATAAAGATTTTTTCACTCATCATTGAGAAGGGCTTAGATAATTTTTGACATGTTTTCTTTGTTTTATTTACTTTTGTTAATAAAATGTAAATAAAAATAGATTTTCCATCTCTTGAGAGACGCTTGTATAATTACCAGAAACTTGTTGGCTTAATAAAGATAATTTCGTTCTCTAGATCAGTCAGCACTGGACATTTTTTATATGAGCATGATTGTTTAATTGTTTTTTGACTTGTTTTGTCCATGTCACAGTGTAATTGTAGTCTTTTTGGCAGGTTACAGCTCAGACAGTGGAGAGCTGTGCTTGATGGCTGTGGGCTGTGCAAATAGTGTTTGGGTCAAAGTTTAGCTTCCTGGCCAAAGTTTGTTGCATTTTCATTAGACAAGAGAAGGTAAGCTTCAAACTTTTTTTTTTTGGAGAATAGGTTTTTGATAAAGGTCTGGTTTGAGGAAATAATAATAAACTGCAAAATGTTATGCTGTAACTACTTTGGATGTAGGTGTTTATTTGTTGTAACTGGAGAAAGTTTTTGTTTTCCTTTCAAACAATTGTTCTTGTATTAGAAAGATCTTTCTTGTATTAGTTATTTTTCACAGCTTGTGTTTCTTTATTAAATATGTTTTTTCGTTTCCCCTTTGGAAAGTTTTTTTTTTATTATTATTATTTTTAAAATGTCCTCAAAACTAAAATGTGCATTAAAACCTAAAGAATTAGTTTTCTTTTCAAGCTGGTTCTGTCTTCAGAGGCTAAGGAGGATTTCTTTCAGGGCAATAAAACTACATCTCTGTTCCAATGTGCAGTTTTTAAGAATTTCTTTTTGTTGCTGTTGCTGTGTGCCATGGAGAAGAGGCAAAAATAAAAGCGCTAGCTTGTTTGGGTATTTGTGTGTCTATTTGTGAGAGCGGCCCCAGAAGAGGGGAAAAGGGTGATGGGAGTTTGTCCCAGATATCTGGGATAAAAAAAAAGCCTCACAATGGCTGAATAGGATCTGTACCCTGTAGTGGTAAACCAGCTTTGAGAGGTGGGAAATGACTTGCAAGCAAAGGTCTATGTTTACTCTTTGAGAACCTGAGGTAAAATTGTTCTTCATTCTAATAATGGCAGATGTTTTCTCAATATCATTTTCCACAAATCTTCTGCTTTACACTTTTGGTAGCTATAGTCTTCTGAAAATGTTTTTTTCCTACATCAATTAATTTTGAGTTGTATTGTTTCATAAATTTTAAACAAGCAGCTGGTAAGTTTTTTTTTTCTGTTTCTCAACAGCAACAACAGCTAAATTTGTAACTGATCCTTTGGGAAAAATAACATTAAAGGTTGGAGTGATATTTTTTAATCGGTTTAAAATCTGAGCTCTGGCTGCCTAAAACTTGATTTAATGAAACTGACTGTAGTAAGAGTTTAGACTGCTTCATTCAAAGTCTGCATGTTGTCAGGTTTTATCACAAAAATCTCAGCAGAATGAGGGTCCTGAAGAGAGCCTTCCAGTTCATCCTCAGAAGAGAAGTGAGGCTCTATCAAAACCCTGCGAGGGTCAAAGGTGAACACGCTTCCTCGTTAAACCTTCAGCACTCAGAATTGGTCCGCATTGTTTGCTGCAGGCTGGCAATGCTGATTATCTCTTCTCTTTCAGATTTCCACTTCAGAGTTCATCCGTCTGTGTCTCAAGCTGTGGCGCAAAACAAGCCGGTGGTTGCACTGGAGAGCACAATTATCACCCATGGCATGCCCTACCCACACAACCTGAGGTACCCAGTATGACACCAAGGCCAAAACACTATCAGGTGTTTAAAATTTTCAAGATGAGTTTCACAAATGAACGATAAGCTCGCCTGCTGCTTCTGTTCAGCACTGCAAACGAGGTCGAGGCCATTGTGCGAGCCGAAGGAGCCACTCCCGCCACGATCGGCGTCGTTGAAGGGGAAATCTGCGTCGGATTGACATCATACGAGCTTGACCGTCTCGCTCGATCCAAAAGCCCCCTGAAGGTGTCTCGACGGGATCTGCCTTATGCCGTCGGCAAAGTGAGGATGCTACTTTTGAATCCCAAACAGAAAACTATTTAAGTCTCCTAAGCGTTTTCATATTTTGTGACATTATAACGACGAACATTAATGTATTTCTAAGAGATGTTTTGTGGAAGAAGAACAAAAATGCATAATGGTGAAGTGGCAGGAGAAATATAACTAAGTCTGAAGATTTTAGCACTGAGCACTTTTGTATGTTTTCATTTGCAAAACTACGCCAGTTTCCTTCCATATCTCCATAAAATGCTACTTTTGGTTGATGTAAAATCCCAATAAAATTCTACAAAATACGTGGGAAAAGTCTAAGGCTATGAACACATTTGCAAGGCATTGTGTGTATGAGCTTCAGGAAACATCTTGACTTTTTATCAATCTATTGTAATTACTGCTATTTTGAAAGTGTTCAGATGTTTGTCACCGTTTTTCAGGGTCTCTCCGGGGGAACGACGGTCTCAGCCACAATGATTGCAGCACACAGGGCTGGGATCCCTGTTTTCGTCACAGGAGGCATCGGAGGAGTTCACAGAGACGGACAGAACAGTGAGCTAACTTATACTTTACTGCAAAATAAGCTTATAGGGTTTTTACATCCTTTAACAAGGAGATGTGCTGTTTTCTGACACACCTGTCGTCTAGTTTAAATTAAAATTCTTTTCAGAAAAAGAAAACTTCGCGATAGTTTGTTAAACTGGAAGGATTAAGTTATCAAAACATCTCCAAGTCTGATTTGGTGCAGTGTTTGAGACGTCTAACTGTGAAGTCGAATCAAACACAAAGCTTTTATTCCTGCTGACTAATTGATGCTTCTTGAGGTCTGGACGTCAGTGCAGATCTAACGGAGCTTGGCAGAACTCCCGTCGCTGTCGTCTCTGCCGGAGTCAAGTCTATCCTGGACATCGGCCGCACCCTGGAGTTCCTCGTGAGGAAATATGCATTATTCTGTTCTGTTCAGCAGACTTGTAGCATAATATTTATTCATAGCTGTGATTGTAATGTGTGGCTGAAGATTAACCTTTACTTCTTCCCTTACTTGTCTGTAGGAGACACAGGGTGTGTGTGTTGCAACTTACGGTGAATCTAAAGATTTCCCAGCATTCTTCACTCCAAACAGTGGATTCTCCTCTGCGTGTAACGTCCGCAGTGCTAGCGAGGCTGCAGAACTCATTGGTAATATGTTGTAGAAATAAATTGGCTTTTCGTTAAACATTGAAAGTCATGATGATGATTAAAACATATCCACGGGTGTGTTCTCACTTTTACAAGTATTTAAATGAGTTTGTCCAGTAGTCAGTCAGCTGTGGAAAAAGAGCGGTTCATTGTCAGAAGACCAAAATTAAAGTCACATTCATGTTGATGATGACGGGATGTGACCTTCTGACCGAAATGTACGCTTAGCTCGACTTGACAACGAGTTTGCAGCTATTACACAGATACAGTAACGTTGCTTATGTGTCCGTCTGCTTGGTTTTTCCAGCAAGCACTTTGTCTCTGGGTCTTCAAAGTGGCCTCCTGATAGCAGTGCCCATCCCAGAGGAGCATGCAGCCGCTGGCCAGCAGATACAGGAGGCCATACAAACTGCATTGACAGCAGTCGGGTACAGAACGTCTCTCATATGTGGTTGTGTTCGGGTAGCATGGTAATCAACCAGCAGCACCCCCGAAAATATTTTTGACTTGGTTAAGCTGACCATGTCTTCTGCCGAAATGCTGGGATCTGCTGATCAGTGTTTGTTGTTGGTGCCACATGCTCAGTTTAAGACCCGTAAAACTCAGTTGTTTCAGGTCTTTGCACTCAGTTTCGACTGATCACCTTAAAAAGCCACTAAAAATATACTGGTATAGAAAAGCTTTTAATTAATGTGATGTATACATTTGATGTGCTTTTCTTCTGTGTTTTGTTAAGCATTTTTCAATTTTATTTGGGAAATGCTCTATTCAAATGAAAATGTTACTTATTTACTTACGTAAAGTCTATTTTTGGTTTCCTGCATGTCGACATCTGCTCACCTCTTTGTGTTGTCTCTCTGATTTTCTCAGCTCTGAAGGTGTTACAGGCAGAGACGTAACACCTTTTGTTCTTCAAAAGGTCAACGAGTTGACTCAAGGAAAGTCCCTCCAGGCCAGTATCCTCTGCAAACCTCGAGATCTTTCGTCTCTGCTTTAGTATTTCCGATAATGTAAAACACTATCAGATGTTTCCACTACCAGATAGTGGAAACTGTAAGATGCCATAAAGATTATGGCCTTAACAATATAAAAGATTACTAGCTTTCTAGATCAAATCGTGAGTTACTGCCATATTCCTCTTAACTTGTCATGTTTAAAGACATTGCTCTCATTCACAACAATGCTAAAGTCGGCAGTCAGATAGCCTGCGCATTGTCAAAGCAGATGAGTGAAAAAAGATCAAAAAGTCTAGCTCAGCATCCTGGAAAACCCCCAAATGACTCAGAAGTTGTGAGTATAAAACATTTCTGTGTATATATTTTTTAAAATTTGAAGCAAGAAGGAGTCAAATAAAGACCTGCATTCTTGCGCAGGTTGTCATAGGAGGAATAAATGTTGATTTTATTGCCAAAGGGAAAACAAAAACACTTCATGTAAGCATCGCGACACGCGTCTATCTCAAATACGGCAGAACAGCGGAGGAAAAATAAGTTCTAAGAATCTGTTTTGTCTCACAGTTTGGACAGACTAACCCAGGAAGTGTCTGCCAGTCGTTTGGGGGCGTGGGACGGAACATCGCTGGTTGATTTTCCTTATCTGATCATGTTTTCGTCAATACGTCTGACTGTCTCTCACATATTATCTCCTGTGTTTTCCTCCAAGACTCGCTGAGTAGGTTAGAAAAGACGCCGCTGTTCATCTCCGCCACCGGAGCGGATGCAAACAGCGATGCAGTTTTTAACCACTGTAAACATATGGTAGGGCAACATTAACGGCTAGTTAAAAGTCAGTACTGTCGGACTCTTGAATATGAATTAAAAACAAGACGTTTTTAACTTACTTTTAGAACACAAGTGGTGTGGCCAGACTGGAGAAGCAGAACACAGCAACGTACTGCGCTGTTATCAACGACAATGGGGAACTGAGTCTTGGTTTGGGAGACATGGATATTCATCAGCAAATTACAGAACGCTATGTGAGTTCCTGCTGCCGGATTAGGTTTTCTGTGTGACTGAGTGCCTTGCTGATTGTATAGAAAAAAGAAGAAAAAAAAAAAAACAGAAGAAGAAGAATTTTATGAAACCTGGCATCATTCCCTGAAAACTGCCTCAGATTTTGATGTAGCATTAGATCAGTAAGCATAATTTTTAGGTAATGGTTCCTCTAAATATTCTTAAATGTATTTGAACCTTTTTTCGCAACTTTTTCTTAGCAATTGATCACTCAGCATGTCGAAACCCCATATTGCCACCATGCACGGTGAGCAGAGCAGGATGGTAAATGTGATAAAGAAAAATGTTTCTCAACCTTTCTGATAGAGAACTGCAGCACCGACAGGGTTCAGCAAGTTTCCTTAGAAACCATTTTAAATGCAAAAAGAAGTAATTTGGGAGGCTCTTGTCATACCAGCACCACAAACTAAGAGGAACCATGAACTTTAGTGAGACAAAAGTATCAATAGTAGCACTGTCTGTAATTATAGTAAAAAACAATATCACATTATGAGACTAATAAAACCTGCTTAATAGATGTGCTTAAATTAATGTTTTGGGCTTTCTTTATTGAATTATATTATAATAATGTAAAATAAAGAAGGTTTTACTTTTATACTTTTAAAACGTAAGTCAGGGTCCCATTGTGGTGAGTGTTGCAGATTGTGAAGTGATCCTTTTTAGATCCTTTGCAAAAATTGATGTTTAAAAATCTATGTTTGGCTTATTAAAAACTGAAATGGACTGTTTATTCATCCTGTATTTTGAATAACTTGCCTACATTTTATTTAATTAAGTGCATGTTTGCTATCAGGGTTTTTTATTTATTCATTTTTGTTTGTTTTTTTGTCTTTTAAATTAACCTTTTGTTTGATCAAATTGATATTATTTCTCCTCAAAAATGCAGTTAGCACTATTACTATCTATCCTTAAATGTGTCTTGAAAGGTTTCACAGTTTGAAAAACAGATTTCATCCGCCACACTTGTGTGCCTTGATGGAAACATCCCCGTCTCCACCATCAATTATGTCTGTTCTCTTGCTGGGAAGCACAACTTAAACAGTAAGCATACGGAGATGGTGGCCCAATAAACGATGGTAAACGGACATGTTAGCCATTATTAAAACAGTAATCTCTGTTTTTGTCACAGTTTGGTATGAACCAACAGATGTAGAAAAGGCTTGTAAGCCTTTCCTCTCAGACGCTTGGAAGTCTTTGTCCTATTCGTCTCCAAACCTGGCAGAGTTGTGCATGATGAACAAAACTCTGGGTCTCACGGTTCCTGAAGGTAACCTTTTATCTTTCACCAGCATTGAAAGTTGCAGATGTTCCCCTTCTTTTCGTTTGCATGCTTTGCGAACGACAAACTCCCTCAGCTCCCACATCAGTCACGGCTAAGAGTTCTTGTGAAGAAGGCACATTATCTGATGGTAGCTTACTGGTAGCTATAAGGTTGTGGTTGATCTCGTGCCAGAGCTGCCTGCCTCTCTTGATGAGATCCTGACGGTTGCCATGGCTCTCTCACGCCCTCTTCTGGAGAGTCTCCACTGTCTGGTGGTGACTGTTGGGCCTGATGGTGTGCTGCTGTGTGGCCAGCACGAAGCAGGCTCAGTTGACCTGCAGCCGAGGAAACAAAAAAGAGTATGCGCCTTTTTTAAAGCAACTTTATAATGAAGATGATATTTACGACATCAACACCGAGGATGTCATTTATTGGGTTTGGATTTGCAGAAGCGGCAGCTTTGTGCGCTACACTACCCAGCATTGACCGTGACTCCAGAGGAGACGATGAATGTGTCTGGAGCAGGAGACAGGTATACAAACTCTACCCAGCCCTACTTATCGTTCTTCCACTTCAACTTTGTTTTTATTTTATTCATAATTAGTTGTTGTTCCTGTTGTGTTGGCAGTTTTGCAGGTGCCTTAATGGCAGGGATTCTTCAGAAAAAAGACACGGACAGCTGTGTTCGGATGGGCCTCCTGGCTGCGAGGATTTCCCTGTCATCGCCACATCCCATCTCACCAACACTCAGCTTAGACTCTGTGGATCCCAGCAAAGTCCAGGCACCAAAATGGCCCACGCCGGGCTTTGTTTGGCTCGACTGAGATTTAAATTCCAGAGTTTTCGTTGTGTTATTTTTTTTATGTCTCACAATTATTATTCAAGGAACTGTTATAACTTTTGACCAGAGAACCTGTTTTCTCAAAGCTTTTACCTTTTTATTATTCCATAATAAAATACTTGAAGGTATTTTAACTGAATTTTCTGAGAGTTTGCTTATTTTTAACTCTGTTACCTCACAATTTCAAGTTTGGTTTCTAATAATATTAACTATTAGTGTATTTATATACATACAATCCACTTGTTTGGAAGGCAGGCCAGAAAAAAATTTGTTTTCCGACCTACCACCACAGTAATAAACACAGCTTGCTAAACTCATTTGGGATTTTAACTGGAATAATTGTGCTTTACAGAAAATATGAGGATTGATATTTTTCAGCAACAAACACTCCAGGTGTTTCTGATGTTAAACAAAGTAGGAGACTAAATTAAAATGGAAAAAAAAACAACAACCTCAAACTCACTTTTAAGTATAGTAAGGGTAAATGATTCTAAAGACCTCTTTCTGTTCCAAAACTCCTTGGAAACTTTGAATTTTATGTCATCAAATTACAGGAAATTTTAACAAAATGAATCTGGTTGTCTCTATAAATAAAAGGAACAAAAAGTACCCTTGAATATGGTGGGGGTTTTTAGCAAGACGGTGATCCAAAACATAGAACCACCTCAGTACCGAGAAATAGAGTAACCAGAGACGACTCTGGACTCTGAATAACCACGACAGATTGTGTACAGGAATGGTCAAAGATCCCTCTCCTTACAGCCTAATGACATGTTAGAGGACAAGACGAGACAAACATGATTAAGCATATTTGGATACAGAATTATAAAAACAACGTCACATTTTGCTACAAGGTTGAAAGCATATAGTTACAAAATGATGTTTTTGTTGTGTAAACTGTACTCATGTGCAATAAAGTATATTATTATTGTTGTTATTATTATTAGAAGTAGTATTAGTATTATTATTATTATAATAATTATTATTATAATTATTATCTTAATAATTATAATAATAATAATAATACTAATACATGTTCCTGTAGAAACTCTAAGAACAGTGTGTAAACTGTTGTAACTGAATGTCTTGAATCAGATAAATTGTCGATACAATTGATTGTACAGTTCCTCCGAAATACATCAATAATAAACATTTGGCATGGAGATCATGTTTTTACAGAATAATAATTCTAACCACTGCCGACATTTGATAAGGAAGTCGTCCAGGTGAACAGTTGTCTGGAATATTTTTTTTCATGTACGTTATTTTCAAAGAAATGTATTGTTGCTAAAAAACGAAACAAAACAAAAAAACGACCTTACATTGCATAACTACCATTTTACTGCTTTGAATGTAGATGGGCGTGTAAAAATATAAAAACTCGTTTTCCCATAATGCCGTTCTGTATCGGCGCAGACTCAATGGCACCGAATACTTGCCCCACTCCCTCCTCCCTACTATAATGCTAGCTAAGATGGTGGTTTGAGCGTAATTTGTCTTAACAATACCAAGAAAAGAAAGGGCAAAACATCTTTACAGTCTCCCGATTAGAACAGAACCCCACGATTACCGCTATCGTAAGTTACCATATTTAGAAATTTCACCATTTCAGGTACATTGGCTTGCAGCCCCCGCCCAGTTTGGTGTGACTCCTTTGGAGTGGAATCCTAAGCTAAATACGGACAGGGTAAGTAACGCTAACGTTAGCCAAGTAGGGTTTCATCCTACATCCAGCGAATAAAAGATAGGTGGCTTCGTTTCAAACTTAAGAAGTGATTGGGGTATTTTTCCAAACCCAGCGAATCACTGTCCAGGTAATTTGTGTATCCTCAGACCAATGTCAGTTGTTTATAAGGCCAGGGGTTCACTGTTAGCTTCTATAGGCCGCGTCCTACATTTCTGGTGATAATGTTAGCATGCAGGCTAAGCGGTTAGCATTACCCAAGCTGTCATTTTCAGCGCTCTGTAACGTCATGTCATATTCTCATTATTCGTGAACGTCGATATTAGGTTGGAATAAATTTTACTGTGTGGTGTTTTTGTGACTAGTGTTGCAGTCGAGCTGGATACGCGCCAACAAGCAGACCGGCTTCTCTTACCAAAACGTAGCTAATGTTAGCTTAGCTCAACGTTAGTCAAATAACATCTGTCATAACGTCAGATCCAAAAGACACAGTCAGTCTCTGACAGAGCCTGTAAAGTCGCCCACCGGGGTTTAAATCTGTGTATTTTTTGACTTTATAATCGAGCCAGTGGGATAGTGATACACTTGTAAATATGTGTTTATTAGCGGACCGATGCCAAAGCATCCGAAATGTTTGCGTTTCGTCTAAATTAACTTCCTCCCGTTTAGCTTCTGTCGGTCCGGGTTGGTCACAGAGTGAGTCTGCTGGCAGTGGTGTTGTCACGAAGAACCCAACGCTGGTGTTCATCTGCTAAAAACCCACTCTCTTTCTCTTTTTTTCTCTGTATAAATGAACTCTCTTGTTATACGTTTCCTTTTAACGTGTATTATGACGTGTCAAGCATTGCCAACCCACGAGAGATGTTTACAACATCCGCATTAACACCTAAATGCTTCAATTCTGTTTTTAGCTCGTTTTTTGATGATATGACCCAGTCAATTTCACCTACCCCGCAGAAATGAAGTCCCTTCAGCAAATCCTAACCCCGCCAGCGTTACAATGGCTTTTGCTTGATATGTACACATATATGTCACTGTGCTGTGAAGTGAGACTCATAACGGATTTTCAGATCCTCAGATAATGCTTTCAGATTGCCTTAGTTGCCTAATAAAATTCATGTTCAGGTGTATTTCATGCTCTCTCAGGGAGAGCTTCTGTTTAGTCAGCTGGGCCTACCATAATTATTACATAACCTCGTTGTTGCATTATTTTTCGCACAATGTTGGAGTAGGCATGGGCGAGTATGAGATTCTCATACCACTCCGTCATTGATAGTTACAGAAAAAAATACTGTTTTTTTTTTTTTTATTTGAAACAGGAACACATCAGTTACTGAATTTGGTGCTAAAATAACAGGAGTTACAACTATTAAAAAAAAAGTTATCTGTAACAATTATTCTTCTCATGGAGGTATAGATTCAAGCAAAACTATTGAATAAACACTAACTAAATATGGAGGTGTGTGTAATAATGTGCTTATTGTGAAGATTATTGTACATTTTTGCCATTTTGTTCCTCAAAGAGTTAACATTCGACTGTCGTCTCAGGTTCCCAGTTGCAGACCGGCATGCTTTCAGCTCACCGGCTGTTGTCTTAAAACACTATTACCCCAAAAGCAGTGATAGGTTGTCCTTCTTTTATTTACACACCCTGACTGTTCAGGATTTTGGCAGCCAGAGATATTTCCAGACACCCGTCTTTGTTGTGTAAGAGACTTGTTTCATCCAGCTCACCAGCAGTGTGCGGTAAAGCGCTGGGGAAGAGGGAGTACCGTCCTGTTCTATGATGCATACGATTCAGAGAAAAATAAAAACTCTGGTCACTCTAGGACTTCACATCTGATTACATGTGTGACATGAACTTGGATCACTTTAAAATCGTAACTTTTTATAACCTGGCCCATATTATCTTCGTTTCTAAAATCACATGGGCGTCTTCTCACTCTTCCTCTTTTATATGTATTTTCTTTTGTGCAGCGGTTATTTTGGCACCAGCTGTGAATAGCAAAGCACTTTTAATATTCAACCTCTACATGAGCATCTGTTTACATCAGCATCTCAGTTGAAAACCCAAACACAGTAACATCTCTGGTGATTTCTTTTGTTATTTTTATGCTAAATAAAACAGAGGCTGCTAGGTTTGAAAAGACAATTTGACTATTGCGCAATAAGAAAGGGGCTAATGCTTCTCTTGTAAGACGTTCCTGTTGAACTGCATTCTGAGTTTAATTGCTGTGATTTAGCTGAAAGCGTTTTGAAATACAGCTTTTCAGTTCTAAATTGGAGCTTAAAAATTCATTCAAAAGCCTGAACAATGCTGGACAAAAGCGCTGTAAGACTTGATTGACCTGCTACTAATATAAGTTTTAAAAAAAAAGGTACTGCTTAAGTCGTCTGTACTGCGTCCTGTTATATATTTTACGCTTTAAGTTGCCTTATTTTCACAGTTAAAGGATTTCTTCACTCAAGGGCCGCTTACAGAAATTAATCAAATTTAAATGAAAACCCATGGAGGGGTGACTTTTCTTACTTTTTGGGATAACAGAAGTTCTCAGCTTCCTGTCCTGTCTTTTAGCTGATCTGTAAATGTGAAGCTGTTGGCTGTATTAGCGATACCGCAAAGAGGAGAGAAAGACTTGTTGTTTCGGGTCTGCTTGCATTCAGTGACTTGCACGTATCGACGCTTCCAAAGACGCGCAGACCGGCGTGTTGTTTCCTATTTCAGAATAACTCAAATGAACAGGGAAGGCCCTCTAAAACACGGTTTCCATGTATTAAACCTCATTGTCGTTTCGGTCCCTTTTTCTGATGACCTCGAAATGTTGCCGGTAGATCACTTTATAGTTCTGCATCCACTTCTGCTGACGTCCTGTTTCTGAACAGTTTTTATTTGTGAAGCTTGTTTCCCAGTTGATACTCCAGTTTTATCAAGACTGCTACATGAAATATTTAGCCCTGTGTGTTTTTGTTTTTTTTGTTTTTTTCCAGCACTGTGCAAATTGAGTAGATCTTTGTCGCTTTGACAACAACATCACCTGCTGATTTCATGTTACTCAGGGTGGCCTGTTTTTTTTTTTTATTGTTATTAAAAATTAAAGGTTTGAAGCTGTTTTCTCTCCCAATGGCACATGCACACATTTGTTGCTCTGTCTTATTTTTCTGAGGATGTTAAATCATGTTGGAGTGACCAAACTGTGTCTGCTTTCCCTCATAAACATTTGTCCTTATGCTGAATGTACAAAAATGTACTTTAATCTCATTTTTGCATACACAGATGTAGGTTTGATGAAAATTTTGGCAAGTTTCATGCCATCTATGCAGCATCCTGTAGTCAAATGCTTAAATACACTATGCTGTTCTGGAGAAGACTGCAGATTAGTCAGCTTGTCTGGTTGAACACAATCATTCAAATTCACCACAAATTTATCTCACAACATTTATCCCAGCACC